CAGTCTGGGTCAATAGCATGGTTATAAAACTCACATGGAGTATTAAAAACAAGTTGATTTACGGGGTTATCAAATGCCTTGGTGATTTTATACATACATAAATCTACTAACATAGGCATGAAAAACACTTTTGCATAACAGTTTTGGAACTTTTAAACTACTAAAATATTGGATTTCTAAAAGCAAACATTCAAAAACAATCGGGTCTTGGTAGAAGACTACTTTTATACTAGTAGGAAATATGGGATTTTCTAGGAGTTTTCAAACATCTACAAAGAATTTCATTCAAATTGACATTAAATACTTATGAACTCACCAGCTTAAATGCTGATCTACTCTTTCAAATCTACTTGTATTTCTCAGGGATTCAGTAATACATGTAAACTTCAGCATTTGGAGAAGTGACGCTAAGGCGTCAGTTTAAAACTCATTTTGTCATCATATTGTAATTTGTTTTGAAACAAGTATCATTCAACAATGTAACTTTTAAATTATATATATGATGGTTGTTTTACTTTCTTTACTATGTATTCAACTGTTATGATACTACATGAAGTCATCCGCCCTCGAACGATTCCGCCGTTCTGATTTAGGGGTGTGACAGTTTGTGAAGCTTGTAATTGTAGATTTGGTTATATCATGGGTTCCTTAGGCATAAAGGTGCAAACTTTATGGTGGTTTTGGTTCTATGCATGTATTAAGTCAAGTATTAAGCTCTTTTGAGCTCTAGACTCCCATTTAGCCATGTATGCACATAAAGTTGGCAACTTTATGTGATAAGCCACCTTGGGGAAGTCAGATCTGAGTTTGGATCCAAGTCTTAATGGTTTAAGTGCTTAACTAAAAAGTTGGCTTTGGGCTGGTGAATACGTTGGGCGTACAAGTATGTATGTTGCTCGTACAAGCCTCCTATGTTGTACGCGGAGCGTACATGCTGAGTACGCCCCGCTTAATCAGCGGACTTGGCCTTTTGCGTTTTGGGCTTCGGTTTGGGCTTAGCTGTGTTGGGACATGTTGGGCCATCTGGATTTTCATTGTTGGGTTGCTGTGACTTGTTGGGCCTTCTTGGGAAAAGGCCCATGAAAGGAATTAGGCCCAATTTGGAAAATTAGGCCATATTTGGGCCTTAGATGTTTATTTTGGAATTTTGGGCCTTTGATCATCTAGTTTGGGCCTTGGCTTTGGGCCAAGCTTGAGAAGGGTAAAAAGGTTTTTTACCCTAATATGGACTCATATTGTGAGTTAGGGGCTAGATGTTCATGGGTTTTCATTTTTGGTATTTGATAGTTTGTGGATGTTAGCAGATCTGCATTCAGAGATTATTCGTGAGATCAGCTGTTAATGGGGTGTTGTTTTGATATTGACGGTTCAGAGATCTGTCAGCCAACAGCCAAGAAACGTCTATATGATTTGGTAGTGCGAGGTGAGTTTTCCTCTCTCTACTTTTAGGTTGAAGGCACCAAGGCCGGCCAACTGGTTGGATAACCTGATATTGTTGATATGTTGAGTATGGAATAGATATACATGCTAGTCTTGATATGCTAGTCTGGCAGATCAGTAGGACTACCTGTGATTCTGTATGCATGATTACATGTATATGTTGTTAGTTGTCGGTATATCGTGTTGGGTTAAGGTTGTACTACTTCGTGTTGTAGCCAACAAACCCTGAAGCATTCCAGATATAAGTTATGGGCCGGGTAGGGCACGTCAGACTCATACTGAGGGCTCATGTGCATTCCAGATATGAGTTGAGGACCTGTTTGGTATGCTAGACTCGTACTGAGGGCTTGAGGGTATTGGATCAATCCATATATGAGCTGAGGGTCGGGTAGGGCATGCCAGACTCATACTGAGGGCTCAGTAGCATTCCAGATACGAGCTGAGGACCCAGTTGGTATACCAGACTCGTACTGAGGGCTAAACATTAATATTCCAATCCAATGATTGATTAGGTTGGAGCAAGCCAGACATAAGTTGTGGTCCCCGGGGGTAAGCCAGACTTATGTTGTGAGCTCAAGAGCAGGCCAGATATAAGCTATGGGTCGTTAGGCAAGCCAGACTCATACTGTGGGCTCAGGGGTAATCCAGTCTCTTAGATGTGGACCCAATTGCATGTTGTTATTTGTATATGTTATATGTTGAGTGTTGGTACTTTGGGGGAACTCACTAAGCTTTGTGCTTACAATTTTGTTTATGGTTTCAGGTTCTTCAGATGATTTATGGCAAGGTGAAGGCGTGACCGTATACATCATTGGTTTTACAACAGATTGGATCTTGAGAGACTCTGATTTTAAATCATGTTTTGGAGACAATGTTTTTGTAAACACTTTTGTTAATAATGGGTTGTTTTGAAAAGTTTTAATTTGATGAAATTTTTGGGATGTTACACTTAATCGGTAAAACCTCGTGGGAGAAATCCTTATTAAGGAAAGATATACATGAATAATAATAAACATTTGAAATAATTGCCTCATTAAAAACCTTGCTAATAAACACATCACTTAATTTCCTTGAAGCGCTACATACCAATGTTTCGTACTATCTTTTCAAATTTGGATGTAGGGAGTGTTTTAGTGAACAAATGGGTCAAGTTGTTACTTGACTGAATTTTCTGGATGCTGATGCCTTACTCTTTTTGAATGTACTTAAACAATTGAACCATATATGACCATATTATTTCAATCCATACAAAGATTTATTTAATTTTACCAAGTATACTTCTCGAGAATTAGAAGTTTGTGCTTCCGGCACCTTAAATCCTTATGAGATTTTCATATAAATCTCATTCTCGAGTGAACCATATAAATAGGCGGTAACTACATTCATTAGATGCATCTCTATTTTTGCATGTGTAAACTTATTAGATAACAGAATGTAATTGCATCAACCACACGAGAGTACGTTCTCCATAATTAATTTTGGGCCTTTGGGTAAAACCTTGTACAACTAGTCTTACTTTATACTTCACAAATTCATTTTTTTCATTTCTTTTTTCGCATAAATACTCATTTGTGTCCCATTGATATTTCCTCATTTGGTGTATGGACTACAGATCCAAAAACTTTTCATTGAGTAAGAGAATTAAGCTCTTTATTTATGGCGTCTTTCCATTTTGTCCAATCTTTTCTATTCCTATATTCCACTATAGATTTACGTTCAGGAACCTCATTTTCTTCCATAATCTCACGTGTAATATGATATGAAAAATTATTGAATTTACTCTTTAGTTTTATAATTGTTGGTAAAGATAAATTTTTATATGCATCATGTTTTTCTTTAATTGCATTTAGTAAAAAAGCATATGAAAATAATTATAAAAAATGATATCAACATCTATTATATTAGAGGTTTAGATTTAATGTATTAATTTAGCTTATTGTTATGTCAAAGTTTACATAAGTTGAGAACAAATAGTCAAATAGATGGGTATATTTTTATTTTGAACTTATTATTGTATCTATTTGGTGGTGTCTTTTGATCCCGGTTTGATAAGTTTGATTCTATGATCACAATCTTATAAAATTAAAAACGGTCATAGACAATATCTCAATCTTAATAATACAATATGGGTTTTTCAAAAAAAAATAAATAAATAAAATAAACTATATATAAAAAATTAAACAATTTATTATGAATTCACCAAGATAATCATGGAGTTGGAAAATTGTAATTTTTGAATTCTAGTTTCTAAAGAAAAAAAAAGGTAGTACGAAAAATGCTTTTTTTTCTAAATTTTCAAACTTCATTATCATTTTCGAACATGCTTTTCTGAAACAAGTTGTTTGCAATTTTGAACCGGACAAAAGTTTTCGAACAAAAATATTCTTTTGGCCTATGTAGTGGTGTCGTTTTAATGATTTCAAACGCACAACTTGTTCGAACTTACAAATTTTCAAAATGCCATGGAAAGCAATATATTGTCATAGAACGTCATATGCCTATTTTCCAAACTGGTCATATAATTTTGGCCATACGACTATTTTTCAAACTGTACATAATATTGCCACAGGGTAAAGAAGGATACCACATGGGAGTTGCAGCCAATGATGCACATTGCACAACATATAGTCCAAAATAACTACCTCGTGAGCAGGTGAAACCCATTCTTAATGACAGAGTTCTCATAAATAGAGTCTCGTGGTTCGGTTCTTACCTATGATTTAGCGGTTGTTTTTTTTTTTTTGGCACAGAAGCAAAAAAAAACTTGTAATTTTTTTAGGACAAGTTAATATATGCCTGGGATAGAACCCAAAACATCCTTACTAGAAACATCTTGTTAGAACCCAAAAACAACTAGTAATTACCATAAAAACTATAAGAAAATAACTTAAAACTTATAATGGTAAAGGACATAACAAGATACCTAGAGATTTAGGAAAATGTATATACTTCTTATTATAATGTAAACTCATGTAATAATGTGTCAGGAATTAATATTTCATGTGAATTGCAATCGTCTAAGAAGTAGTTAATCATTCTCAGATCTTTGAAGAAATTTTTATTAAACCAATACATTCTGATTACGAAACCTTTGTAACATGTATGCTTCCATTTCGAGTTGTAATATGTACATATTTATTTCAATAAATATGTTGTTTTTAAATTAATTAATTGTAATATTTTTATAACATTTCACATAAATTAAGAACTATGTTGTAAATAATAAATAGTATATTACCAAATAAAACATAAACCCTAAAAGCTAATAACTAAAAACTAAAAACTTTCAAAAGTTAATTGAAATAGTTTTGGAATTACTAAACATTTGTTTAACATACTCTTGAAGGAACTAAAAGCTCCTAAAAACTCTCAAAAGTTTATGTGTGTCAATCAATGACACAACGTCAATCAATGACACAACACGATAAAAATATATGACCCGAAAAGAGATTGGGACGATTGATCATGTGGTTTCCAAATAAGCACAAGCAATCTTATTTGTAACATCATTAGAAACCAAATGTTATGAGTAAAATGATCAATTTTTTTTTTTTTTTTTTTGCTAATTTAACATTTTAGAAACTACATAAACATGTAAAATGAAATGAAATCAAACCCTAACCCCTATTCGTCTCCACTTGTAAAAGAGTGTCGAAACAACTAACACCAAAACCTCAACGCTTCTGTGCTTTCCTTCTTCTAGACTGTGCCTTCTGCCATTTCTTTCTTGGAACCACTTTACTCTTCGGTTTCAGCTTCAACTCCGGCGAAAATTTATAATTCGGATCCCTCATTCTCTTCTGTATATCTTTAAAAAACTCCATATTCAATTTCTTAGGTCCACCTTTTCTCAACTCTTCATATTCAGGTCCAGAAACAATATTCTCAAAAGCACCAATCAAAATATCCAAATCACTCATCACTTCCCACACATTAACATAACGCCCATCGGCTCCTTTCTTCAGTTTCTTCAAAGCATTTTCAACCGCAAGTTTTCTCGCTTGCTTTCCCGGAGATAATTCTTCCTGTTCTTGTTCTTCGGATTTTAAAAGCTCGGAAATTGTCCGATACTTTGGTTTTTCATCAAATTCGAATAGTTTGTCTAAATACGCATCGCTGGATTCGTTAGGGTAAGGGTCTGTAGGGATGTCGTCATCGTCATCGTCTTCACTACCGGTCCATAGGGTTTTCTCTTCGTCGCTTCCAGACCACACGCTTCTTAATTCGTCACTGTCGTCGCCATCGATGAGATTTGAATGATCTTTTGCTTGTTGTTTGACTTTTTTTATTTCTTCATTGAGATGGGCTTTTTGGGTTTCTGTGTCACTTTCGTCTTCTTCGCTTCCTGTCCAGAGACAATCGTCTTCGTCGATTTCCTTTCCCCATGCTTCTCGAAATTTCTTGTCTCCGGGCTTCCCATTGCTAAACAGATTGTAATGAGATTGCTTCCCTCTAGCATATGATCGAGATGCTGTAAAAGATATGTTGGGTTTTAATAGAGAAATCATTTGAGTCCTCAAACCAGTCAGACATTTTCACAAACAGTTGGGGTGCATAAGAGAACACTACCAGGTAACGTAACATATAACGAAAAGAATTTAATGGGATTTATGAACATATGGTATTCAAAGTTATTGATAGCAAAGAAACGAATTTTAAGATGAGGTTGAAGGATGCTGACCTTGTGCAAACGGGAAAGGTGAATCGTTTACTCGGGTTCTTGAGTCGATGAAGAAAAGGGAGGTCGATTGTTTATTGGGTAATCTGAGATATGATTTTGGAGTATGAAAATAAGTTTTGGTAGTTTTGAAGAGAGAGGGTAGTTGAGAGAAGCGTCGCGCCATTTCTGTTCTTGCAAACAATGGTGAAAACCAAACCCACTCGGTGTATTCAAATGTCAAATGCAATTAAAGTCTAAATTTCTAAAGGGTGTTTGCTACTGTTATCTGAAAAAAGACAAATGTAGCCAAATTCAATAAATTCTTGGAGCCAAAAAAAATTAAGAGACACCTATATAACCACAAATATCGCAGATAGGCCTAATGGGCATTTTTATGAAAATATATAAAATAATAATAAAAACATCGAATATGGGTAGTTACGGGCTTAATGGGCTACCATTTCATAAATATGGGTTGCAATTCATTAAAAAGAAAACTTTCAAATCCTGTTATTTTTTGCTACACGAAATCACAGAAAAACATGAGATTTCTTTACGAGTACTCCTATAATTTTTTTTTCAAACCTTAAATACTTTTGGCTTATGGATTTGCTACATGAGACGAAAAAGGAACCCATATCCTTAATCTTTGAAATCTCAGTCCAATAATTAAGACTCATTTGTGATTTGATTTTAGACATCTAGTTATTTCTTAATTTTGTTGGAAAGTAATTAAGAAATGGGGAATGTTGTTAGATCTGTCTCATTTTTTTTTACATGTACTCATAGAAACAGACAAAGCAAACTACATTGCTTGATTTTGTTTTTTTTTAAGGGGAAAATCTGTACTTTATAACAACATTGACCATATTCCAATTTCGGTTGATTTTTTTTTTCTTAAATCTGTTTTTTGGATTCAAATGATCAAACATGCATTGATGGTAAATCCGTTCAGGGGGCAATATGGTCATTTTAGGTGTGTTGTGCTTTAATTTTAAGTCATACGTGGCAATAATATTAATTTTTAGCCCATTAGGTGTACTTTCATTTTAAGTCATAAGGAGTTATTGAATTAGCATGTTACTTTCAGTTTTTGCACGAGGGTAAATTGGTAAATTGAAAAAAAAGAACTCATTTGTCTTTTATTACTAATGACATATTTTAATAATATCTTCAGCCCATTTATTCAATGTACAAGGGGAAATTTGTGATTCAGCCCATTTATTTAAAATATATCATTAGGTTTCATTATTATTTTAAGAACTCATTAGTTTTTATTATTTTTGCACAAATTTCCAAATTTGTGATTCGACCCATTTATTTAAAATATATATCATTAGTTTTTATTATTATTATACATTGAATTACTTACTTATTCGTCAGTTCATTTGTAATTATTTCTAAATTTTAGTTTAAAAATTGTTTAATATTTATACCTGTATATTTAACTTTTGTTTTAATAAATCCGTGTTATACACAGGTCTCACATAATGTAAAATAATTAGAATATCAAAATAAGGGTAAAACTGGTATGAAAAATAAGGCTACAATCCATAAATCGTATGGTTAAAAAAGTGGTTTCCACCAATAACAAACAAGTATTTTCAAATAAATTATAAATACTTCGAAATAAATTAAAATAAAACAGCCTGTAGCATTGGTAAGAGTATAATTTTAATATTTGGTGGGAGGAATAGATTATTCCCAATTGTATGTAAATAAGTTTACGATCTTTAATAAATAAATAACATACATCTTTCTACTTAAACTTAAAATTTTGATTTTGTTTTTCACAAACATAACCAAGTTTTTTATAGTATAAAGCCTAATTAGAATTCTATAACTAATTAGGCTTGCTTTAGTTAATAAAGTTGACTTGTGTAACATTAACCCTCTTTATACAACAAATAAACTAACAAGATCATACAATAAAAAAGTTGTTACATTTCTATAAAGTATAAACTAGCCTTTTTTTTAACATTTTATCTACTCCATGAAATTAGCCACATTCCACAAAATTCACAACCCACAATCAAAGATTTCCTATGACATTAACTTTTTATACACAAAATTCATCCGAAATCCCTAACTATAAATAGACATTGCACAAAAATTTCTTGTTATAACCCAAAAAAAAATCTTGATGTTGTTTCCTAATGCCTAATAAGTCGCCAAAAGTCCATCATATCTTCACTCCTCCAACATCACCACCACCGGAGCAAACTGCAAAAACAAATTTGTTACACAGTACACAGTATACAGTATACAGTACACAGTGTACTATACCAACCTCATCATCATCTTCATAAAAGATGTCATCTCTCGTGTCATGCTCAAATACCCATCCAAGAGATGACTCTAGTAACTCTTTAAGTTTTCTTGTCTACATAAATACATTACACAAGTTTATAATTACAACAAAAGTTAAAACTTGAAATTAATATAGAAGAAAATTTATAAAGCTTTAGTAAAATGAGTGAGAATTATACTCACCCAAGACAAAAGGTCTCCCTCAACAAAGGGAGCTTCAAGCACAAGCAAAAAGAACTCCTGTAAAAATTTAATTATTAACAAACTAATTAAACACTAAAAAAAAAGATTGGATTACCTTACACAGATGTTGAAGAAAACTATCAGAAGATAAAAAGGAATCATCTAACAATGTGATAGACCCTTTTGTAGCAACATTATTTTCTTTTTGAAATGCATACTTGAGTTGATAATAGAGAACCTTGATAAACTATTAAAAAAATCACAAACTTTATTGTCAACAACAAAAAACAATAACAAATTATAAATAATAGAAATATAAAATAACAATAGTTGTCAAAATCATATACAATTACCTTAGTAAACAAATTACTCCGTGTATGAAGAGGCTGAAAAAAATATTAAAAAAAAAAGTTAAAACATTTTGTATGGATAAAGTGTTAATGTTTAATAAAATATTTGAGAAAACTTACAGCTTCAGTACAACCAAATAAAAGGTTAACAAAATTTTTCCATTGAAGAAATGCTTCAAGTGATTGTCCCATCTGCCAAATAAACACATTTGATTTCAAAAAAAAATTAAAATCATTTCTTTTTTTAAAAGAATTTCACTAAAAAATCTTACAATAAATGCAACAAAAGCAAATTGCATCTCTCCAAGAAGCAAATCTTCCACACCTCCATATTCTTTAATCAAAATGCTTTCCAAAAGACTTGTCTACATGGTATAAGAAAAGCGTCTCATTTATGTTTTTCCAAGGGGTAAAATGGTAATTTTGCAACGCGTACCTTGTCAACATTCAAGGAAGTAAGATCTTGCCCGAGGATTCCCTTTTGTTTAATTAAACGTGGGATTTTCGTGTAATAACAACCTCTTTTTACAACTTTATCATCAGATTTTTGAATTTTAGTGTTCTTTAATTGCTCAGATAAAGCTTCCTCCATTGCAGTTTTTGGATTGTTTACAAAAATGTCAGGTTCATGAATTATTGTGATCTCTGCTCCAATGGGTTCTGCATGTGGAATGAAGATTAAAAGAAGATAATTTTTTCAACAAATTATATAAAAATTGTAATTACCAATTCTTTGAATAGTAGTTTTTGTAATGTAGTTTGATAACATTTTCCATTCTCCAAATTGACTTAGTGTACAAGGCCCGAGGTATTTGTCAAACTCCATATTTTTTACACCTTGAGAGTATCTTTCTTCCTTCAATAAAGAAAAAAATTGATATTCAAAGACTAAATAGGTTATAAACTTATAATATTGTGATCATTTAGAGTCAAAGTAATAAGAAAAGGTTCATGATTCATACATCTTCTTCTGATATTTTAACTAATCGTTCCTCTTGTTGATCCCACTTGCGAACAATTACCTATCATATGAAGTAAAAAGAGAATAGTTTTGATTAAATTAATGGAATAAAAAGGGTACAAATGGTGTTTATATTTGATCAAAATGAAAGAATTAGTGAGAAAATTCTGACCTGAGATGGATTCAAATCGATAAAGAAACCTATCATTGGTGAAAACTCACTTCCACCTCTGCAAAAAAAAAGTTCATAATTCAAGAACAATCATATGAAATTATATATCTAAATACTCTAAAGCGTTACAAAATGATATGAATATAGAAAAATGGGGAATTTGGATGATGAAAAGTAGCTAACCTATTTGAAGAACTGTAGTATATAAAGTGAGGACCTGGAGGAATCATCTTGATACCTTTGAAATTAGGTCCAACAGAAAACATATGTGTTGTAGTATATTCATATACAGATATTAAACACAGAATCGCAAGATAGTAAATAAAATACCTCAAATTCTCGATTAGTACTTTTGAAATTTTATGAACTACATAATTAGCTATCTGTAACTACGTAGCAATTGAACTCTGTTTTGTTTTTGTATCATAAATAAATAAGGGATATCGATTATGGAGAAAAAAATAGAAGAGTTATAAATAAAGGGTAGTGTAGTACCTGAGTATCGATGCCAAGAAGAGTGTGCTGAGGAACATCGAGGAAAAGAAGAGAGGCGCCTTTCTTCACCAACTCTAAAGCTGTATCTGCATCCATTATTAATTCTAGGGTTTTTGATAGATTATGTTTTCTGATTTGGTGAGGGTTTTTGATGAATTTGCTTTTAATCGATGGAATCAGCAGTGCAAAATGTTCTTCTTCTACTACTGTATTACAGTCTACAACCTTCCCGAATCACGAGTCCCATTTTAATTTTGACCTTTTATTTATTAACGAAAAACTATTTTATAATTATGGAACCACGGGTTATAAAATTAATTAAATTAAATTTTCATAATAAAAATTCATAACTATTAATAAATTATTTTAAATAAATCTTTTAAATAAATTATTAATTAAGAGATATATCAAATTTTTAAAGTTATTATAACTTCAAATTTAACATATAATTAGAAGATTTAAATTTGAATTTTGAAATGAGTTGCCTAATATATCTACATGACACATGGCATAATATTAATGAGAAGTTGTATTAAAGTGACATTTGACAAAAGGAGGTTAAAACTATTCATTTATTAGAAAAGGGATATTTAAATAAAAAATGATTTTTTTAAATATATTTAAATTATAAGTTATTCTTAAAATTCATCAAGAAGATAACCTGATCTGTACAAACTCAATTTCGAGTTGTAAGTCGAATCATGGGATTCAAATTCGAGTTTCTTCCATGGTTTTATTGAGTGATTGAAATGAGAGGGATAATAAACAAGAATGTATGATTAAAGACTCATTTGTGATTTGATTTTAGGGATCTAGCTATTTCTTAATTTTTTTGGAAAGTAATTAAGAAATGGGGAATGTTGTTAGATCTGTCTCATTTTTTTTACATGTACTCATAGTAACAGACAAAGCAAACTACATTGCTTGATTTTGTTTTTTTAAAGGGGAAAATAGAGAAATTAAATATCCTTTTACTTTTGTTCCTACAAATCCTCCTATTCAATTAAATTATGACATGTGTCATATTAGTTTACTAAAATATCATTAAATATGACATACGTGGCAAAAATATTAATTTTTAGCCCATTAGGTGTATTTTCATTTTAAGTCATAAGGAGTTATTGAATTAGCATGCTACTTTCAGTTTTTGCACAAGGGTAAATTGGTAAATTGAAAAAAAGAACTTATTTGTCTTTTATTACTAATGACATATTTTAATAATATCTTCAGCCCATTTATTCAATGTACAAAGGGAAATTTGTGATTCAGCCCATCCATATTCTAATAAATGAATAGTTTTAATATTCTTTTGTCAAGTGTCACTCTAATACAACTTCTCATTAATATTATGTCATGTAGATATATTAAGCAACTTATTTCAAAATTTAAATTTACATTTTCTAATTATATGTTAAATTTGAAGTTATAATAACTTTAAAATTTTGATATATCTCTTAATTACTAATTTATTTAGAATAATTGATTAATAATTATAAATTTTTATTATAAAAATTTAATTAATTTTATAACATGTGGTTCCCACGAGTTATAAACTAGTTTATTTAAAATATATCATTAGTTTTTATTATTATTTTAAGAACTCATTAGTTTTATTATTTTTGCCCAAGGGGAAATTTGTGATTCAACCCATAGTATATAAAATATGTCATTAGTTTTTATTATTATTATACATTGAATTACTTACTTATTCGTGAGTTCATTTGTATTTAATTCTAAATTTTAATTTAAATTTTTTTTAATATTTATACCTGTATATTTAACTTTTGTTTTAATCAATCCATATAATACACAAGTCTCAGACATAATGTAAAATAATTAGAATGTCAAAATAAGGGTAAACTGATTTGAATAATAAGTCTACAATCCATAAATTGTATGGTTAAAAAAGTGGTTTCCACCTTTTTTTTTTATTTTGAACTGGCAAATAAAATATAAAAACAAACAGACATCTAGCAAGTAACTAGAAGCTGCAAAATAAGTACAAGGAGAGGTACGAAAACTGACAGACAGATTAAAAAAATAACATATATCTTTCTACTTAAACTGAAAATTTCGATTTTGTTTTTCACAAACATAACAAAGTTTTTTATAGTATAAAGCCTAATTAGAATTCTATAACTAATTAGGCTTGCTTTAGTTAATAAAGTTGGCTTGTGTAACATTAACCCTCTTTATACAACAAATAAACTAACAAAATTATATAATAAAAAGTTGTTACATTTCTATAAAGTATAAACTAGCCTTTTTTAACATTTTATCTACTCCATGAAATTAGCCACATTCCACAAAATTCACAACCCACAATCAAAGATTTCCCTATGACATTAACTTTTATACACAAAATTCATCCGAAATCCCTAACTATAAATAGACATTGCACAAAAATTTCTTGTTATAACCCAAAAAAAAAAATCTTGATGTTGTTTCCAAATGCCTAATAAGTCGCCAAAAATCCATCATATCTTCACTCCTCCAACATCACCACCACCGGAGCAAACTACAAAAACAAATTTGTTACACAGAACACAATACACAGTATACAGTACACAGTGTACTATACCAACCTCATCATCATCTTCATAAAAGATGCCGTCTCTCATGTCATGCTCAAATACCCATCCAAGAGATGACTCTAGTAACTCTTTAAGTTTTCTTGTCTACATAAATACATTACACAAGTTTATAATTACAACAAAAGTTAAAACTTGAAATTAATATAGAAGAAAATTTATAAAGCTTTAGTAAAATGAGTGAGAATTATACTCACCCAAGACAAAAGGTCTCCATCAACAAAGGGAGCTTGAAGCACAAGCAAAAAGAACTCCTGTAAAAATTTAATTATTAACAAACTAATTAAACACTAAAAAAAAAGAAGATTGGATTACCTTACACAGATGTTGAAGAAAACTATCAGAAGATAAAAAGGAATCATCTAACAATGTGATAGACCCTTTTGTAGCAACATTATTTTCTTTTTGAAATGCATACTTGAGTTGATAATAGACAACCATGATAAACTATTAAAAAAATCACAAACTTTAATGTCAACTACAAAAAACAATAATAAATTATAAATAATAGAAATATAGAATAACAATAGTTGTCAAAATCATATACAATTACCTTAGTAAACAAATTACTCCGTGTATGAAGAGGCTGAAAAAAATATTAAAAAAAAAAGTTAAAACATTTTGTATGTATAAAGTGTTAATGTTTAATAAAATATTTGAGAAAACTTACAGCTTCAGTACAATCAAATAAAAGGTTAACAAAATTTTTCCATTGAAGAAATGCTTCAAGTGATTGTCCCATCTGCCAAATAAACATATTTGATTTCAGATATTTTTTTTAAAATCATTTTTTTTAAAGAATTTCACTAAAAAATCTTACCAAAAATGCAACAAAAGCAAATTGCAGTTCTCCAAGAAGAAAATCTTCCATTCCTCCATATTCTTTAATCAAAATGCTTTCCAAAAGACTTGTCTACATGGTATAAGAAAAACGTCTCATTTATGTTTTTCCAAGGGGTAAAATGGTAATTTTGCAACGTGTACCTTGTCAAGATTCAAGGAAGTAAGATCTTGCCCGAGGATTCCCTTTTGTTTAATTAAACGTGGGATTTTCGTGTAATAACAACCTCTTTTTACAATTTTATCATCAGATTTTTGAATTTTAGTGTTCTTTAATTTGCTCAGATAAAGCTTCCTCCATTGTAGTTTTTGGATTGTTTACAAAAATGTCGGGTTCATGAATTATTGTGATCTCTGCTCCAATGGGTTCTGCATGTGGAATGAAGATTAAAAGCAAATAAAATTTTAACAAATTATGTATCTAATCTAGTAATAAAAAGTTATAATTACCAATTCTTTGAATAGTAGTTTTTGTAATGTAGTTTGATAACATTTTCCATTCTCCAAATTGATTTAGTGTATAAGGCCCGAGGTATTTGTCAAACTCCATATTTTTTACACCTTGAGAGTATCTTTCTTCCTTCAATAAAGATAAAAATTGACATTCAAAGACTAAATAGGTTATAAACTTATAATATTGTGATTATTTAGAGTCAAAAACTCAAAATAATAAGAAAAGGTTCATAATTCATACCTCTTCTTCTGATATTTTAACTAATCGTTCCTCTTGTTGATCCCACTTGCGAACAATTACCTATCATATGAAGTAAAAAGAGAATAGTTTTGATTAAATTAATGGAATAAAAAAGGTACAAATGGTGTTTATATTTGATCAAAATGAAAGAATTAGTGAGAAAATTCTGACCTGAGATGGATTCAAATCGATAAAGAAACCTATCATTGGTGAAAACTCACTTCCACCTCTGCAAAAAAAACAGTTCATAATTCAAGAACAATCATATGAAATTATATATCTAAATACTCTAAAGCGTTACAAAATGATATGAATATAGAAAAATGGGGAATTTGGATGATGAAAAGTAGCTAACCTATTTGAAGAACTGTAGTATATAAAGTGAGGACCTGGAGGAATCATCTTGATACCTTTGAAATTAGGTCCAACAGAAAACATCTGTGTTGTAGTATATTCATATACAGATATTAAACACAGAATCGCAAGATAGTAAATAAAATACCTCAAATTCTCGATTAGTACTTTTGAAATTTATGAACTACATAATTAGCTATTTGTATACGTAGCAATAGCAATTGAACTTGTTTGTTTTTGTATCATAAATAAATAAGGGATATCGATTATGGAGAAAAAATAGAAGAGTTATAAATAAAGGGTAGTGTAGTACCTGAGTATCGATGCCAAGAAGAGTGTGCTGAGGAACATCGAGGAAAAGAAGAGAGGCGCCTTTCTTCACCAACTCTAAAGTTGTATCTGCATACATTATTAATTCTTGGGTTTTTGATAGATTATGTTTTATGATTTGGTGAGGGTTTTTGATGAATTTGCTTTTAATCGATGGAATCAGCAGTGCAAATGTTCTTCTTCTACTACTGTATTACAGTCTACAACCTTCCCGAATCACGAGTCCCATTTTAATTTTGACCTTTTATTTATTAACAAAAAACTATTTTATAATTATGGAACCACGGGTTATAAAATTAATTAAATTAAATTTCATAATAAAAATTCATAGCTATTAATAAATTATTTTAAATAAATCTTTTAAATAAATTATTAATTAAGAGATATATCAAATTTTTAAAGTTATTATAACTTCAAATTTAACATATAATTAGAAGATTTAAATTTGAATTTTGAAATGAGTTGCCTAATATATCTACATGACACATGGCATAATATTAATGAGAAGTTGTATTAAAGTGACATTTGACAAAAGGAGGTTAAAACTATTCATTTATTAGAAAAGGGATATTTAAATAAAAAATGATTTTTTAAATATATTTAAATTATAAGTTATTCTTAAAATTCATCAAGAAGATAACCTGATCTGTACAAACTCAATTTCGAGTTGTAAGTCGAATCATGGGATTCAAATTCGAGTTTCTTCCATGGTTTTATTGAGTGATTGAAATGAGAGGGATAATAAACAAGAATGTATGATTAAAGACTCATTTGTGATTTGATTTTAGGGATCTAGCTATTTCTTAATTTTTTTTGGAAAGTAATTAAGAAATGGGGAATGTTGTTAGATCTGTCTCATTTTTTTTACATGTACTCATAGTAACAGACAAAGCAAACTACATTGCTTGATTTTGTTTTTTTAAAGGGGAAAATAGAGAAATTAAATATTCTTTTACTTTTGTTCCTACAAATCCTCCTATTCAATTAAATTATGACATGTGTCATATTAGTTTACTAAAATATCATTAAATTTCATTAAATGAACATTAAATATGACATACGTGACAAAAATATTAATTTTTAGCCCATTAGGTGTATTTTCATTTTAAATCATAAGGAGTTATTGAATTAGCATGCTACTTTCAGTTTTTGCACAAGGGTAAATTGGTAAATTGAAAAAAAGAACTTATTTGTCTTTTATTAGTAATGACATATTTTAATAATATCTTCAGCCCATTTATTCAATGTACAAGGGGAAATTTGTGATTCAACCCATCCATATTCTAATAAATGAATAGTTTTAATATTCTTTTGTCAAGTGTCACTCTAATACAACTTCTCATTAATATTATGTCATGTAGATATATTAAGCAACTTATTTCAAAATTTAAATTTACATTTTCTAATTATATGTTAAATTTGAAGTTATAATAACTTTAAAATTTTGATATATCTCTTAATTACTAATTTATTTAAAATAATTGATTAATAATTATAAATTTTTATTATAAAAATTTAATTAATTTTATAACCTGTGGTTCCCACGAGTTATAAACTAGTTTATTTAAAATATATCAGTAGTTTTTATTATTATTTTAAGAACTCATTAGTTTTTATTATTTTTGCACAAGGGGAAATTTGTGATTCAACCCATTTATTTAAAATATGTCATTAGTTTTTATTATTATTATACATTGAATTACTTACTTATTCGTGAGTTCATTTGTATTTAATTCTAAATTTTAATTTAAAAAATGTTTAATATTTATACCTGTATATTTAACTTTTGTTTTAATCAATCAATGTAATACACAAGTCTCAAACATAATGTAAAATAATTAGAATGTCAAAATAAGGGTAAACTGATTTGAAAAATAAGGCTACAATCCATAAATTGTATGGTTAAAAAAGTGGTTTCCACCGATTTTTTTTTTTTTTGAACTGGCAAATAAAATATAAAAACAAACAGACATCTAACAAGTAACTAGAAGCTGCAAAATAAGTACAAGGAGAGGTACTAAAACTGACAGACAGATTAAAAAAGTAACATATATCTTTCTACTTAAACTGAAAATTTCGATTTTGTTTTTCACAAACATAACAAAGTTTTTTATAGTATAAAGCCTAATTAGAATTCTATAATTAATTAGGCTTGCTTTAGTTAATAAAGTTGGCTTGTGTAACATTAACCCTCTTTATACAACAAATAAACTAACAAAATTATATAATAAAAAGTTGTTACATTTCTATAAAGTATAAACTAGCCTTTTTTAACATTTTATCTACTCCATGAAATTAGCCACATTCCACAAAATTCACAACCCACAATCAAAGATTTCCCTATGACATTAACTTTTATACACAAAATTCATCCGAAATCCCTAACTATAAATAGACATTGCACAAAAATTTCTTGTTATAACCCAAAAAAAAATCTTGATGTTGTTTCCAAATGCCTAATAAGTCGCCAAAAATCCATCATATCTTCACTCCTCCAACATCACCACCACCAGAGCAAACTGCAAAAACAAATTTGTTACACAGTACACAATACACAGTATACAGTATACAGTACACAGTGTACTATACCAACCTCATCATCATCTTCATAAAAGATGTCGTCTCTCGTGTCATGCTCAAATACCCATCCAAGAGATGACTCTAGTAACTCTTTAAGTTTTCTTGTCTACATAAATACATTACACAAGTTTATAATTACAACAAAAGTTAAAACTTGAAATTAATATAGAAGAAAATTTATAAAGCTTTAGTAAAATGAGTGAGAATTATACTCACCCAAGACAAAAGGTCTCCATCAACAAAGGGATCTTGAAGCACAAGCAAAAAGAACTCCTATAAAAATTTAATTATTAACAAACTAATTAAACACTAAAAAAAAGATTGGTTTACCTTACACAGATGTTGAAGAAAACTATCAGAAGATAAAAAGGAATCATCTAACAATGTGATAGACCCTTTTGTAGTAACATTATTTTTTTTTTGAAATGCATATTTGAGTTGATAATAGACAACCTTGATAAACTATTAAAAAAAATCACAAACTTTAATGTCAACAACAAAAAACAATAATAAATTATAAATAATAGAAATATAGAATAACAATAGTTGTCAAAATCATATACAATTACCTTAGTAAACAAATTACTCCGTGTATGAAGAGGCTGAAAAAAATATTAAAAAAAAAGTTAAAACATTTTGTATGGATAAAGTGTTGATGTTTAATAAAATATTTGAGAAAACTTACAGCTTCAGTACAACCAAATAAAAGGTTAACAAAATTTTTCCATTGAAGAAATGCTTCAAGTGATTGTCCCATCTGCCAAATAAACATATTTGATTTCAGATATTTTTTTTAAAATCATTTTTTTTAAAGAATTTCACTAAAAAATCTTACCAAAAATGCAACAAAAGCAAATTGCAGTTCTCCAAGAAGCAAATCTTCCATTCCTCCATATTCTTTAATCAAAATGCTTTCCAAAAGACTTGTCTACATGGTATAAGAAAAACGTGTCATTTATGTTTTTTCCAAGGGGTAAAATGGTAATTTTGCAACGTGTACCTTGTCAAGATTCAAGGAAGTAAGATCTTGCCCGAGGATTCCCTTTTGTTTAATTAAACGTGGGATTTTCGTGTAATAATAACCTCTTTTTACAATTTTATCATTAGATTTTTGAATTTTAGTGTTCTTTAATTGCTCAGATAAAGCTTCCTCCATTGCAGTTTTTGGATTGTTTACAAAAATGTCGGGTTCATGAATTATTGTGATCTCTGCTCCAATGAGTTGTGCATGTGGAATGAAGATTAAAAGCAAATAAAATTTTAACAAATTATGTATCTAATCTAGTAATAAAAAGTTATAATTACCAATTCTTTGAATAGTAGTTTTTGTAATGTAGTTTGATAACATTTTCCATTCTCCAAATTGATTTAGTGTATAAGGCCCGAGGTATTTGTCAAACTCCATATTTTTTACACCTTGAGAGTATCTTTCTTCCTTCAATAAAGATAAAAATTGATATTCAAAGACTAAATAAGTTATAAACTTATAATATTGTGATTATTTAGAGTCAAAAACTCAAAATAATAAGAAAAGGTTCATAATTCATCCCTCTTCTTCTGATATTTTAACTAATCGTTCCTCTTGTTGATCCCACTTGCGAACAATTACCTATCATATGAAGTAAAAAGAGAATAGTTTTGATTAAATTAATGGAATAAAAAGGGTACAAATGGTGTTTATATTTGATCAAAATGAAAGAATTAGTGAGAAAATTCTGACCTGAGATGGATTCAAATCGATAAAGAAACCTATCATTGGTGAAAACTCACTTCGACCTCTGCAAAAAAAAACAGTTCATAATTCAAGAACAATCATATGAAATTATATATCTAAATTGTGACAACCGTCAAAATTGAGTCAAGTCAAAGTCAAACAAAGTCAACAAGTCAAAACCAATCGACTCAATTAACCCTTGTATATTAGGGTTTACATTATGTAATTACTGTACAATGCAATATCTTAATGAGAGAAACATCATTTGGAAAGTTCGTGTGTTGAATTTCCTAAGTAAACATTGAACCAAAACGATAAAACATTATTGCACACTCATCGGGAGTGTGTACGACACTGAAACACGGTTTAACGGGGTTTACGAACCTTGCGTTGCGAAGCCGGACACTCAAAAAGATCACAAACGAAACCTCTCTCAATCTCTTTCACTCAATCTCTCTCTATTAAAATCTCTCCCAAATCTCTCCCGAATCTCTCTCAAAAGTTACTTTAACTTTTTGTAATCATTTGGGTCATCTCGACCCTTAACCGGGTCAAAAACCACTTGAAACGGGGTAAAAACGGGTAAAATAACCTTAAGGAACCAAAGCCCTCCTATTAGAAGCGAAAACTCTCATGAGAAGCCTCTCAGGACCGAAGCCTCTCAGGACCGAAGCCTCTCATGAGAAGCCTCTCAGGACCGAAGCCTCTCATTAGAAGCCTCTCAGGACCGAAGCCTCTCATGAGAAGCCTCTCAGGACCGAAGTCTCTCAGGACAGAAGCCTCGC